TTTTTTTTATATAATAATACCAAATCGCAAAAACCAAAGGAGATAGAGAGAAGGAGGGGCGCACGACTGCTGTCGATGTTTCCGCCGCTCGCCGGTGGTGGTGGTGGCGCCAGTGGTCGGCGTGCGTGAGGGTGAAGAGGAGAGAGAGAGGCGTGGGAAAGGAGAGGGAAAAAGAGAGAAAAAATAAGGAGTAAAAGGATAGAGAAAATAAAGAGAAAACTTTTGGGATTTTTTTGTGAAATCTGACAATTATGATTTTTGAGTGAATAATCTTGAGGTTTTGACGTATTTATAATCCCCTTTTAAAACAAAAACTCATAATTACAAAACTGTCATTACTAAATCCTACTCCCCCTTGACTTTATCCTTTGGGGCCAACTTATTGGGCTCTTAAGTGTCCTCAATTTCCCAACAAATTGATCTAACTATTTAAATAAAGATGACCCAATTCAAAACACTTTTATTGCCTCAATTAGTGACCCATATTATTCTACGCACACTTACATAATATTTAAATTATTAATTTCTTTTAAAACGAAATGAATCATTTTAATCTACAAAAATAAATAAAATAAATCATTTATATACATAAAAATATTATAAAAAATACAGAGTATTACATTAGCAGTAACAGATATTAGACCCATAAATTAGAAGGGTCGGACATAACCTTCCACCCTAAATTAGCTAAAAATGCAGAGTTTACAGCATCAGATTTTCGTAACCCAAGACCACCCTGACTTTTAGGCTGGCAAATAGTATTCTAGGCAACCATTGGTAATCCTGATTTAGTCGGGGTTTGCTTCCAAAAGAAATCCCTATTAATTTTATCCAGTGAAGAGGTGACAGAAACTGGTAACCTAGCTGTAGGCATAGCGTAAGACGGGATAGCCTCTAAGTGGCTTTGGATAAGAACAACCTTTCCTACTTTGAAAACTAAATTAGAAAACCACATATTAATTTTCTGATCAACTTTAGAGATTAGATGCTGAAAATTAACTTTGGTATAGGAAGTAGAATTTAAAATGACCCCAAGATAACGACCCAAGAAAGATCTTGGGGTCATATTAAAATAGCTAGCCAAGGATGCTTTAGACTGATTAGTGACATACTTAGAGAAAATAATAGAGGACTTATGGAAATTTATTATTTGGCCCGAAAGAGAAGCAAATTTTGATAAAGTAGTATGTAAGGAATTACAGGAGGTAGCAGTTGCTCTACAAATTAGTAAACTATCATTCGCAAAAAGAAGACATGGAATAAGAGGAGCCGTTGGGGCAAATTTTATCCCTATTCCTAAATTTCGTTGTTTGCTAAGTAATAACAACTTCTTAGATAAAACTTCCATACAAATAAGAAAAAGAGAATGAGAAAGTGGATCGCCCTAGCGAAAGCCGCGAGAAGGCTTAATGAGATTAGTAGTCGTATAGTTAACAGCAGGAAAGTAAGAAACCGTAGTGACACAAGCTTTAATCCATTTTACCCAAGTGGGACAAAATCCAAAAGCAGTAAAAGTAGTCCATAAGAAGTCTCATTCCATACGATCATAAGCCTTTTCCATATCAAGTTTAAGAGCTAGCCAACCTTTCATACTTTTGGATTTGTTAAAAAGATGTAGAATTTCATGGACTAAAAGGATATTATCCCGAATAGCATGATTAGGAGCAAAAGCATTTTGATACGGGCCGATTATTTTCTTTAGGAAAGGTTTCAAACGATTTATGAGCATTCTAGAAATAGCTTTGTAGATAGTGGTACACAAACTAATGGGTCTATATTGACTTGCTTTGAATGGATTCGCAATTTTTGGAATTAAAGTGATAATTGTGTGATTTAGCTCTTTTAACAAAATACCATTAAAGAAAAAACCTTTCACATCTTTACAAATATCCGGGCCAATAATTGACCAATAATGTTGGAAAATTTTTGGGCCAAACCCATCGAAACCTGCGGCCTTATATGGGGACATATCAAAAAAAGCAGACTTGATTTCAGAATCTGAAAAGGAAAAATTCATGGGAATAATCCCACCTTTGGGCCTCTCGTTTTTAATAATTTCACCTTTGGATTATTTTTTAATAATCCGACTTTTACCCCCTATTCTTTTTTAATGGTCCCGGGTGACCAGTAACCAGTTGAAGAGGTAGGTTTTTTTTTGGTTTAAAATACACATGTCATTACATAATTGGTAAAAAAAAACAAAAAAAAAAAAAATTAAAAAACCCAAATCCAATTCAGCCACCAGCCCACCACCATCCCCACCACCACCTAAACCCAAACCCTAGAACCACCATCCCACCAGACGCGAACCCCTAAACCACCCCACCAGCCTCCCCTCCTTCCCCGCCCTGATTCCGACCACCCAACGCCGACGCTGCTTAACCCCCTCCCCTAAACCACCAACACCCCAGACCCTCCCCCGAAAACCCAGCCAACCCCTCCCCTAAACCACCAACGATTCCAGCCCATCACGACCAGTCCACCACCAGTTGCCGGAATCGGAACGGGGGAAGGGGAGGGGGTCGAGATCGGGACGGAGAAGGCGTGTAGGGTTAGGATTGGGTTGGGTTTCTAGTTCACCACCAGTCCACCACCTCATACCCCAACCCGAGACCACCTACCAAACTACTATTGCCTTCACCAACTGAACCGAAGCCACCACCCCATCACCCTACCTGAATCGAAACCACCACCCCATCACCCTACCTGAACCAAAACCACCACCCCATCACCCTACCTAAACTGCGACCTTAGCCACCTTCACCCATATCTCCACCTTAGTTGAAATCGATCTCCTCTGATTAGGGAGGGGATCGTCGCGCACCGACGCCGGTACTGGTGATGTGGTCGGGGGCTGGGTGGCCGGATCCGGTGCTGGGTGGCTGGAGCCGCGGGAGAGAACGGGTTTAGGCAGCTGGCCGGATCTGGTGCTGGGTAAGGGGCTAGGTAGTTATTTTACTTTTATTTTTTTAATTTTTTCTTTTAAAAAATCTAACTTTTTTTAAAATTTTAGGTTTAATTTTTTGACAATCACAGGCCGCTACGTGTCATGTAACCTGTTATAACAGGTTACATGATCGGTTGGGACCATTAAAAAAGAATGGGGGGTAAAGGTCAGATTATTAAAAAGTAATTCAAAGGTGGGATTATTAAAAACGAATGACTCAAATATGAGATTATTCCCATAAATTTTTCCATTTAAAAATGACGGAGTTAGTTCAATATTATCAAAGGAAGTGATAACTGGATCAATGTATGTCAAAGAGAGATTCCTAGCATGTGGGTACTCAGATTTAAACCGTTTAGTAAATTCCGTATAAAATAAATTTGCAATGTCGGTAGGTGAATCCACCCATTAATTATCGTCATTTTGGAGGCGAAAAATTTGTTTCTTACTTGAACGAAATTTCATAGTTTCATGAAAGAAGCGAGAACTACGATCACCCCTTTAGTTAGCCAAAGCTTTCTAGCATACTTACCCCAAAATTTTTGGCCAAATAACAACAATTTTTCCCGCGTAAGAAAATGATGTATGGAAATTAGAAACTAGGAATAATAATTCACTACATCTTTTATCTTTCACTCCAATCATTTTTGTTCTTTCTATTTAATAATAGAGGAATAAATAAGTAAAACAAATTTGATACATGAGAATATAATTAAAGTAATAAAGAGTCAAATCTTCAAATAGTTTTACTTAAAAAAAAAAAGAAGCTAATTACGGCGATTGTTTTAGTGTGGCCAACCACACTGTGCGACAAGTTGACACACCAACAATGACCGGGTAACCTGTAACAACCGAGTAACCTCTCACCGAGTAACACATAGCCGAATAACCCCAGCCACACAACCCTTGACTGAGTAACCTCTGACCGGCCGAGTAAACCCCGACTGAGTAACCCTTGACCGAGTAACTCCTAACTAAGTAATCCCGATCATACCGTGAAGCCAGACACATAAGAAAATTTGTTCTAATTAATACGGTGTTTGAAAAAAAAAAGAATGAGAATTATAATTTAAAATCATGCTTGAAAAAATTCAATTAGTACTCTAGTAAATGAAATTTTTTACCATACAAAAAAATCCTAAATAAGGATAATTGTTTAAAATTTTTTTATTCAGAAAATGAGAAGAACATGAAATAATTTAAGCCATTAAAAAAAAGGATTAGAGGGAGTATTAGTTTTTAAATTTTGCGTATTTATTCTAGATCTACACATTATTTCCTTAAAGCAGAATATTAGTAATCTTATGCTATCACCTCATTTATTATTGGAGCCGAAGTTAATAAATTATGAAGTGAATAAAAAAATATGTAATTTATCGATTTGATAAGCCAAGTGTAAGAAAAATGCATGAAAAAGTTGGTAGAAAACAGCAAGTGAATAGCAAAATGCAAAGGCTACGGAACCGATGAAAGAAGCAGGGAACATTGACAAAACAGTAGCATTACCTTCTTTAAATTATTTTTCTCTTTTTTTTTTTTGGAATTCTGAACATGTGTCTTCCCCCTCTTCTTGACTAATGACGAGCTCTTTCCCAAATTAAGGTCAAGAAGAACCGCAATTCCCAAATTGCAGCCAAAGTTTTAAGAATTCCCATTCTACCGTCCACGTAAGCACTGGTTAAAAAACCGGTTTTTTTTTTCCGGTCCAGGGTAAACCGCTACTTGAAGTAGCGGTTTCTTTGCAATAAACCGCCACTTCAAGTAGCGGTTTCTTAGTTTAAAACCGCTACTTGAAGTAGCGGTTTGTTTACAAAAAACCGCTATTTAATGTAGCGGTTTATTTTGGAAAACCGCTACTTCAAGTAGCGATTTACTTTGAAAAACCGCTACTTCAAGTAGCGGTTTACCCTGGACTGGTTTTTTTTTTCAAACTTGCATAATCACTCAAAAAAAAAGCCTGCAAGTTGTGTACCTGTAAAACATGAGATATATAGCATATTTTCAACACAACCACCATAAATAACAAGTTTATGAAGATCTAAGGAAGTCGAAATTGCAAAGTCGAATATTTTTCAATTGATTAAATATAACAAAATCCAATTCTAAGCATTTACAAAAAAATTAGTTTAGTTCCAAAATATACACTTAGCTCGGGCGTTGCTTCTTCCCATGAGGTGACGATGAAGATGATGCAGCTGTCTCCTCTGGAATGTCATCCAGGCCAACTCCAACCCCAGACGTAGTGTTGCTACGCCGTCGGTTTCTCTGATACTGGCGATGCACTAGTGGAGGAGATGTCATGATAGTATGCTGAGAAGGAGTCGGTGGACGGAAGGCACGTGCTGAATGGCCTCCACGATGAGGTGGTGGTCTGATCGGCATAGTGTGCACAGTAGAAGATGAAGACGTGGACGGTCGAGGCTGCTGAATAAGGTGTGACTGCCCCACCCTAGACAAGGTTTGGCCACAAAATGATGTAAAACCCTGCATCGTCTGTATGGCAAATGGTATAGCCGTCTCTGGTGGCAAGTGGGAGATGGTCTCAGTAGCTCCCGATAGCTGGACGTGCAAATCAGCAAATGCATGTGCCTACATTTAAGTGTAGTTTTAATGTTAGTAAAATGAAATAAAAAACGTAAGAACTAGATTGAAATGAAGTGAAGTTCATACAAGCAGGAGGTCAGAGGTAGCTGGCTGGTAATGACTCGGGGGGCGCTCCTGCGAAGGTGGAGTAATGACCAGTCTCGTGATGCGACGGTACCAAGCCATGTACTCTGTCATGGCCGGGGAAGAAGTCCCAGTGAACGGGTATCCCTGGACGACTAATGCCTCTCGTCGACTCCACTCGTGTACATGGTCCGAATGCCGAATCTCCCAATTACGCTGTCCCCTTCGATCCTTCCTGTGTAGAGCAACGTCCGTGTCTACATCCTGTGGGATCGGCTGGTCTAACCCGAACTGACGAAGGACTCGGTCTGGGAGGTGGAACTCAACGACGTCAAAGCATATCAGAGGTGCCCGTGAACGCCAAATGTGCATGTATGAGCGACAAATCTCCGGAAGTCGATCCATCACCGCCTCAGTATATGGCTGCCAAATCATCTAATTCCCAAAACAAGTATGTCAACATGTATATGACTAACATAATGGAAGAAATACAATGCACAAAAAAAAAGAAACACCGATTGTACCTGGTCCTCGCGCTGATGGTCAAACGCATCTCTGTAGTATGGTAGTCCAGAAGCAGTATGCGCACACGATAGATGGACACGTAACCACCTGTAAAGACATGTTAATAATAATTCTTGAAAGATAGAATTGTAAGAACATGAACTTGAAGCAAACATTGTACCTGCACGCCAAAGGGTCCCTCCAGAAACGGCTTACCGTTATCATCATGGCCAGGTCGAACTCCCAGCAACTCCTCAACTAGGTCATGCCATCCCTCAAATGGAGGTCCAATGACAGGAGGGCCGTGCACTCTCAGACCTAACAGGACGGAGACATCCTGTAAAGTAATGGTGGCCTCACCTACCACTAGGTGGAAAGTATGTGTCTCCTGCCTCCACCTCTCAACCAACGCTGTAAGAAGAGATCGATCAAGCAAAAACCCTCCTCCCAAAATCCTATGTACACCGTAAAACCCAGCAAGCCTAACGTACTCTAGTACTCCGCCATCTACCCTCCACTCACGTCCCACGCTGACCATATGCTCCCTAACTGAGAGAACTCTATCAGCTACGCCACTCCAAACATCGTGGCTCCTATGGGAAGTCTGCAAGCGTAGAACAGATGGATCAACTGGGCCTGGACGAATCACCGGCTCCATGGGACCTACACGATAACAAAAAATTGAATTAATGTTAAGCGTTCGAGAAAAAACATAAATATTAAACAAGAATATATAATTAATCATGTTACCCAGATGATCCACATCCACCAATAAGAGTAGGACATGTCTTCTTGTTATGCCCAGGTCGCCGACAAACACTGCATGCCTTCTTCACACAATTGGGACGCTCATCCATTTCATTTCGAATTCTAGTGGACCGTCGGCCTGGGCCTCTTTTCAAATCTGGGTTGGCAATAGTAGTAGGACCATTGTAAGCTAACCAGTGGCAAGGATCAGGAACTGGTGCGAAACACTTCGCGTATGAACGCCTATATTCGGCGGTCATGAAAAAAGAATCCACAAAGTCTGCATGTGATAGGCTTCTATGACGACAAACTGCTAGTACATGAGAGCATGGGAGCTTGTATATTCTCAATTTCTCACAAGTACATGTCTTGCTCAACAGATTCACAGTGTGGGAGTTACCACCTTTACCAGCTTTTCTTCTTCCACGACCGGTCCTAACCTGATACAACCCGATGGCATCATAGTCAAAAGCAACAACCTCATGGTGCGCGGCTTTCTCCATGTTGGCTTCTATTGTCTTCTTAGCCTTTTCCGATAACTCATGGCCCTCTTTAAGTCTTCTTTTACTCCAACTTCTTCTAGTTGCAAAATAGGAGTTAACCCGGAAAAAGGTCATTTGCACTAAAGCGGTTATCGGGAGACATCGAGCCCCCTTTAAGACTCCGTTGAAAACTTCCGACATGTTTGTAGTCTTCACACCAAACCTGAAACCACCATCATGATGAATGGACCACTTACTGTACGGAATTTCCATCAAGTACCTACGGGCCTCTACATTCAAGTCACCAATTTTGTTGATGTAGTAATCAAACTTCTTCTTCTGCCTTGCAGTAGCTGCTTTGCCAAAGAGGTTCTTTATGACGACACTTTTAAATTTTGAGTTCACATTAGAAGCCAAGTGTCGTGTACAGTACTTGTGGTAGGCATTGGGCTCCTCCCAACCACTTCCAACTTCTTCCATTGCTGCTAAAATACCAGCATGTCTGTCAGATATCACACATAGCCCTTTCCTATCTGTAACTCGAGCACGAATACAAGCCATGAACCAAGACCAACTATCATTGTTCTCTCCTTCGACAACCGCAAAAGCAAGGGGGAATAGTTGAAAATTGGCATCCGTTCCCATAGCAATGAGTAGAGTGCCTTTGTATTTGCCATATAAATGAGTGCCATCAATGGTGATAAGGGGTCTGCAGTGACGGAATCCATCAATACATGGCTTGAATGCCCAAAAGACTCGTTGAAAAACATGTGTTCCAGGAACCGTACACTCTAACAACCTCCACTCAACAACAGTTCCAGGATTTGATTCCTTGAGAGCTTGCATGTACTTAGGCAACTGTTCATATGAACCCTCCCAACCCCCATAAATGAGTTTTATTGCCTTTTGTTTCACTAGCCATGCTCTCTTGTAGGTTATTTGGAATCCATCAAATTTCTCTTTCACAAGTTGCACCATTGTCTTGATTTTCAATGAAGGATCAACGCGAATGACATCTAGAAGAGCATTGCAAACGAACTCGGAAGTCAGTAGCTTATGATCTCCCGAGTCGATGTCACCAACACAGTTACTTGCGTGAGGGCCGTTGTACCTCACAATTTTAAACGTAGAGAGTGTTGGATCTTTCACTCCTCTAAGCCTCCACGAACAACTACATTGTTCTTTCCTCTTGCACTCAACAACATATTTCTCTGGCTCTGCCTCCACAACTCGAATTGTTTGATTTCTAGCTATGGAGTAAGATTTCACAGCATCTTTCAGTTGTTGCAATGAGTCAAACTGCTGACCAACCTCAAATTCTCCCCCATTGTTATATGTCTCATTTCCTAACCAAGACATCCATGAGTTATTCAAACGAGGATCAACTTGCGCCACTTCATTGAAGTCTGAAGTGGGGGCGCTTCCTTTAATTGCCTTATCACGAGCTTCAATTACCTCTTCATCATCATCTTCATCAGTGTCATTCATCTCTGCATCGCCAAATACATCAACATTGTTTGGGTCAAGAGAATCAAGAATGCCTTGTGGTTGTGTGCTTGTCGAGGTTCCAACATTAGGCGATGAGGCCGGAGACCTAAACTGTGAGAGATGGTCATTGACATAATGTGGATCAACAAGCATTCTTGTGAATGACCCTATGTCCACACTTTGAACACCAGTGGAAAACGGTTGATCCACACTACCAAAAAAATCCATCCCCGGAAAGGAACCAGTGTTAGTTTGCACAACTGGCTCCTTTGGAACTTGTTCAATGAACAATTGCATTGCAACAGAAGAACTCTGAGTCACAGCAATCCACATAGCTCTAACAGCGTTGTCGTCATTTAACGGAATTGCAACATATGCCCCAGCCATAGGATAACGCATAACCACCTTCAACTCCACACCTCTAGGATCAACACTCAATTCTTCATATAGCTTGTTCAGAACTTGTGAATATGTCATCGCAGAATGTACAAACACAAATTTTTGATTCCCACCCCTATACGTTATATCGCTATCTTTGTGGACAATTTCTCCACCCCAATAGCAATATAGAGGGTAGTTCGGAACCTCCATGTTTCATTCTAGAAAAGACCATTATTAATCAAAGATATTAGATTGCAAAAATTCATTAACAGTGTGGCAATGTCCTAACATCAAGCAAGCAAACTACACAATTATAGCAACCTAAACTGAGCTATGAAGGTCTTAATACCTCTTGAAGCTCAACATGGGCATAAGTCATGACTACATGTACTTTGAGCTCATGTACTTTGTGTATAGAAGCTCTATTTTCACTTTCAAAATCAGCAATTATAGCAACCTAAACTGAGTAATGTGATCGAAACCATTAATAATTCTACAAGGGTTATATGTAAGGTAAGTAAATCAACAACAACAACCAAAACCAACCACAAACATACATACAATTCTGAAACTCAATAACAACAACAATAAACAAGAACACTAACAACAACAACACAACCAAAACCGAAACTCAATAACAACAACAATAAACAAGAACACTAACAACAACAACACAACCAAAACCAACAACAACAACACATACATACAATTCTGAAACTCAATAACAACAACAAACTCAATAACAACAACAAACCCAATAACTGAATACAAAAAATAATTAGGGCACTTACCACAAACAAGAAGATCAGCACGTTTCTTCTGAAATTAGCGAAGCCGACCACTAAAGTCGAACCCTCGGCGTCAACAGCGGCGGCCTTCGTTGCTGAGGAATGCTCCGGCGGCGTCGGTGGATTCCTTGGCTGCGCCGGCTTCCGTTGAAGGAGGTGTGATTTTGGTGGAAGGCGTGGATGGGATTTTGGTGAGAAGACGAAAATGAAAGAGGAAAGTGAAATCGGGAAATTATACTTGCTAGAAAACCGCTACTTGAAGTAGCGGTTTATTAAACAAAAACCGCTACTTGAAGTAGCGGTTTATTAAAAAGAAACCGCTACCTGAAGTAGCGGTTTATTAGTAAAAACCGCTACTTCAGGTAGCGGTTTTGCTGTAGACCGGATTTAAAATTTCTTCCCCCTGAACCGGTGACGTGGACGGTACTTTGGGAATTCTTAAAACTTTGGCTGCAATTTGGGAATTGCGGTTCTTCTTGACCTTAATTTGGGAAAGAGCTCACTAATGACTACAATCTCCGAGACGTCTACTCGCCTTGGAATACCTAACTTATTATCTCACGAACCTCTTCATGTCTCACTTCCCTCGAGACTTTATATTATTTTTATTCTCTAATGCTCCATATTATAAAAAAATCTAGTTTCCGAAAGATGTATCCAAAGAGAATGTCTCGGTTAAACAGGTTAGAATTGGACCACGAATTTTACTTATACATAAGAATAATCATAGTCTTTTTAGGATTGAAGGGAGTACTCATATTCATGTTAATTGCGAATCACTTAATCATATATTTTCGCTAGAACCTTCAAAACAGTAATAAGCAACAAACCAATTTTAGTCTTTAATTTATGGAACGAATCAATAGAATAAAAGCCGAACCATCTAATTTCATGTACATTTCAAATCAAAGTGAAATCATTCGAATCGAGTTATTTTGGGTTAAGTCATTGTACTGTACACAGTACATATTACACACTCCGTGTACCCTACGCTGCCTTATTTGTTTAACGAGTTAACTGTGTCATTGCATAATTCAATAATTGTATAATGTATACTCCCTCCGTACATGATGTTGGAGCATAATATAAGTGAGGGACCTATAATTATTTAACTTTACCCTCATCTTTCTATACCATCTTTCGCTCTTTCACTCAGCTTTTTTCTTCCATGTCCTTTTATTTTTATTCCATTTTCTCAACACTAACAACCCCTTTTCCCACTACCAAAACCCTTCTCAGAATCCTCCAACTCTACCCATAATCGTCTCAGGTAACCCTTAATTTATGATCTTTACATTCAAACTGACTAATTTTAGTAATGCGTTACTTCATTTTATGTGCAATTCTTCTTCTCTTGAGCTCAAAATCTTCAGTAATAAACTGTTTGAATGATGAAGGTGTTGCACTTTTATCATTCAAACGATCCATAACTCAAGACCCAGATGGGTCTATGAGTAATTGGAATCAATCTGATGAAAACCCATGTTCTTGGAATGGTATAACTTGTAAAAATCTCAAAGTTGTTTCTGTTAGTATACCCAAGAAAAAATTACTAGGGTATCTTCCTAGTTCAATTGGGTCTCTTTCAGAATTAAGGCATGTTAATTTAAGGAGTAATAGGTTTTATGGACCATTACCCCTTAATCTTTTTCAAGTAAAAGGGCTTCAAAGTTTAGTACTTTTTGGTAATTTCTTATACGGGTCATTACCAAGTGAGATTGGGAAGCTTAATTATCTTCAAAATTTGGATTTGTCTCAAAATTTCTTAAATG